CCTTTAGCCACTATCCCCCCGTCTCCTGACACCCCCCCCCAGTCCTGGGCAACCACGGTCTGTGCCTGTGGATTTGCCTCCTCTGGACAGTTTGCATAAACAGAATCACACAGCATGTGGTCTTTTGTGACCAGCTTTTTTCACTTAGTGCCATGTTTTCCAAGTTCATCCATGTTATAACGTCCTCGGTCCTTTTCCTGGCTGAATAATATTCCATTTTGTGGATCTGTTATGTTTCATTTACACATTGGTAAGTAGATGGCCATCTGGATTGTCTTCACCTTTTGGCTGCTGTGAACATTCCCGGACCAGTTCCTTGTGGACCTAAGTGTTCACTTCTCTTGGTTGTGGACCTAGGCGTGGAATGGCCAGATCATGTGGTAACTGCATGTTGAACATTTTGAGAAACTGCCAGACTGTTTTCAGAAGTGGATGTACTTTTCTCTAGAGATTGCCCACTTTTATTTCTAGATCTTTTCAATGATGAAGTTCCAAGCACTGTAAATTTATTAGTATTGACTGAATCTCCCCAACAACCCTGCGAGGCAGGGATTACTAAGCCCATCTTAGAGATGAGGCTACTTGTTCAACGTCACTCAGATGGTAAGAGGCGGCCCTGGGACAGACTTAAGTCCATTCAATCCCAAAGCTCTGTCCGTCCCCTCTGGCTCCCACTGCCCCCCAGGAGCTGAGTGATTGGTGGGCCCTTTCCTTCCTCCACAGGCCAAGGGGTGCCATGGAAATTTCCTCTCCTTCCTCTTCTTGCCCCAGCGAATCCCCCAGACCCCGTGCAGTGTGTTCCGTATGAACCAGCGGAGATGCAGAGCTGGATCCTGACGTCCTAGAGGCTCTGGACTTGCCGGAGCTGGAGGGGTTGACATCCAGAGGACAGAGGCCTTTGCTATGACCCCCGGCCCATCTGGGGAGTCTGAAAGTAAGAGCGTAAGTGCTCCACACGTTCAGCAGGTCTCTTCTGTAGCTCTGTGGTCGTCCGTCTCTTCGGCTCCCCTCTTCCTTCCTCACCGTTCAGCTGCTGCTGAACAGATCAAGAGCAGATTAAGGAGTAGATCAGAGGGTAAGTTCCATCAGAGTGATTAACTTAAAAAAATCAAAGTAGATGATCTGGCTACACGTATCTAGGCATGCCCTAGGCCTCAGTTTCCTCCTTTGAAAAATAAATAATATTTACCTCTAATGCAGCTGTGGGGATGAAAAGTCGTATTGCTCGTGCTGGGAACACAGTACCCGAAGATAAACATTTGGTCTCTTCCCTGCATCTTGGTGCTGGCAGCGTGCCAGGTGCCGGCCTAAATGCTCACAATGGGGATCCTCGCCCCAGATGTGTGTGCAGCCCTGCACTTACACCCACTCTGCAGATGAGAAGACCAAGACTCAGAGGTGATAAGACTGTGCAGGGAGTAAGACGCAGGGCTGGGACTACAACTCAGCCTTCTTGACTCCAAAGATGAAGCTCTTGCGACACCTTTGCTCTGTAACAGCCTGGAGCTGAGTCAGGCAGAGCTGACTGCTGGTGGTGGACGGACGGCTCAGCTCAGCTCGGTGTCACCCTCAGCCTGGCTCCACAGACAGCCTGGAGGAGGCTCTAAGAGGCCCTCTTGCAGTGGCGACAAACGGATGAGGCGTGGACAGAGCCCATTCACGGCAGCACTCATGAGTGTGAGTGGAGTCCCTGTCCCCTTCCTCTGTAGGGTTTGCTCTCGTGAGACATAACCAGAAACATCGGCGTGGTGCTGGCCTCCTGCTGCTCAGAACCCTGGCCAGGCTGCCAAGGACATGGAAGCACCCTGATGCACGTCTCCGACCCGAAACCAAAATGGGACCGGGGAGTCGGGCCACCGCCTCGCTGTTAGGCCATCTGAAATGGACAGGGAGCTATGAGGTAAAAAAGCCTGCAGAAGCAGGCCCGTGGGCACACTTAGGGCCTTAGCACACATGTCCTGAGCTCCTTGCTCACAGTCTCCCGGGGAAGCTGATCAAACAAGGGTTCCGATCTTTTGTCCTCTGATTTCTGAAAAGCACCTGCGGCCCCCAAGGCTTCCATCACTGTCCGGGAGCTTGATCTGCTCCTAAGAAAGTCAGCCAAGAGGCACAGCCCTGGGGCAGGCTGCTCTGGGACCAAATTAGAGTTTTCTCCTAGGACACAGGAAGGAGCATTGCCCTGAGTCCTGCCTCTGCCACAGGCCGAAACACAGCTCCGGACACGGGAGGCCTCTCCCCGGGCCTTAGTTGTCCTCCCTCTAATCCCAGGAGGACTGGAACTAGTTTGGGGACCCAGAGAAACTGTACCATTTGATCCCACTGAGCCAGGACTCTGCCTCAGAATCCTTCTTAACACAGAGCTCCAAGCAACTACTACCGATAAATCAAGAGTTGGCTTACAAGAGGAGACCTGGTTGCTCTCCTTGGACACATTCATCTCGAGGCATCCCTCAGCTCTAAAGACCTGTCATTCTCCTCTGTGGCCCATATGTTTGTCCCCTTGTTCCTTTTGTCAAGGTTTCCCTGGACTCCTTGTGCCTTGGCTGGGAGGTTGGGGCTGTGATTCGGTGGCAGGGGATAGACAGGCAGGAGGAAGAGCTCCCACGGCCTCAGGAGAGGTTGTCCTGGTGCTGCAGAATTGAGTCGTGGCGAACCAGGCTCTGCAGCTTTCTGGCCCGTCCTGCTGAGTGTGGTTTTGCAGGTGGCAGCTACACCAACCACTGGTAGAAGGATGCCAACAGAGAGGCATGGAAATTTGAGCTCCTCCAGGCAGGGGGGTGACCACTAGAGCCAATTCAGAACCTGCACGCTTGAGACGCTCTTCTGGCCCGGCCACCTAAGACCCCACGTCAATACAGCATCCTTGCTACCATGTGGCTAGTTCATATGTTAATAGCATGATGTCGTTCTAAAGTGGTTCCTAAGGTCTTTGTGACACAAGGCCTGAAGAAATCCTGAGGTTTCCTGTTGCAGTCACAGAAAATGAGTGGTGATGGCTGAGGAGGATTTGGGGCAGCTCCTTAAGTGCCCTTCAACACAAAACACAGCTCACGTTAAAAGAGTGGTGTTGCTGCAGCTTCCTCAGCCTTGAGTAGGAGGACAGGGATAAACAGACGCAGGATTCTCTGCCAGAAACAGAGGTTTTGTGTTGATTTTATGCTGTCGGAAAACATCCAGATAGAAAGCAAAGCCTATACATTTTTTAGACATGTTGTTGTGCTCAGCCAAATACCAGACTTCACTGACGAGATAAAGACACGAAATTCAAGTGGCGCATTTTCAATTTCTGAAGTCACATTTTCTTACCTTATAAGGGAATCCTAAAAGAAAAGCACCACAAGGCACAAGGCCAGTTCGATTCTATACGTGTTTGTGGAGCACCTGCTGTGAGGATGGAGCCAAGCCAGCCCTGCGGGAGCAGGTACTCAGGGGGCATCGTTCCGGCCCTTGGGGAGCTTCCAGTCCAAAGGCAGAGAGAACCAGAAGCAATAAAAGTTCCAGTGGAAAGGGATGGGGAACTGTCCCTCTGAGGCCCTGAGGGCTCTGCAGACCGGTTCAAACATGTCCAGGTCAGGAGAGGGCGGAAGGCTTCCTGTAGGAGGCAGCATTTCAAGACGGGTCTCAAGAGAAAAGCAGAAGGGTTTTCCATCTGGGGAGAGACCTGCGGAGGCCCACGCCGAGCCTGTGGGCAAGATCCAAGAGGGGGAATTCTGGCTGAAAGCAGGTGGAAGTCGCATAGCAGAGAAGCTCCAGGAGCTAGGTCAGGAAAGGTGTTCGGGGCAGCTAGTATGGAGGTGCCAGGGCGCCCACTGAAAGGGCCGAGTGGAGAAACAGCTCCAACAGAACAGGGCGTGAGGAATCCAGTGTCCGTTCTCCCCCAGAAATCAGGGGACACCACAGCCAGCCTGGCTTTACTTTGCAGGAACAGATGGGAGAGTAGAGAGGCTGCCGGGTCCAAGGCCACATACTAGGGGTGGCACAGGCCCAGAGCCCACAGCCCTGGCCTGCAAGCCCGGGACGCCGGCCGGTGGGCCAGGGCCGACAGTGGGCCTGCAGACGGCAGAGCATGTCGCCCGAAGGGGACAGCGCTAGTCACCAGCGATGAGACTGAGCCACTCTGGCACCAAGTGCAGGGCCCTGACAAAGGCGGTCTGCTGAGGCACTTGGAACGGCTACAGCCCTTCTGAACATAGTGCCAGTTCACCCCTGCAAGGGCTTTCTTCATACACCCATCTGACGACGCCAGGTCCGTTCTTCCTACCGTGGGCTGCACGGGGAGCTGCACGGGCTAATATGGCTATTACAAGTGAAATTTAAATGAATGGAAGTTATCTAACACCAGCAATTCTGGCCCCCAGTTGCACGAGCCACGTTTCCAGCACTCTCTAGCCACACGCGGCCAGGGGCTACTGTGTTAGATCGCACGGAATAGAACATTTCCATCACCATGGAAAGTTCTATTGCATAGTGCTGATTTGGAATGGGGGTCAGCGAGCTGTGCCCCAGCCTGGGGGTTCAAATCCAACTATCACGTGTTTTTGTAAATAAAGTTTTATTGAAACACAGCCACGCTTGCTCTTTGGTGTATTACATGCCTGTCTGCTTCTGAGCTACCGCAGCCGAGCTGAGTACCTGCGACCCAAACTGGCCGCAAAGCCCGCAATCTTTACTACCTGATCCTTTATAAGGCAAGTTTGCCATCTCTGGGGTAGACGGTCGGAAAGCTGCATAAGGATCTTTTCTGGAAAGATGCTCGCTGGCATCCCCAGCAGTCACCAGTGGATGCCCAGCATCAGGATGATTTTACCCAGGCACGTGGCTCCCCTGGGAAGGAGGCAGGAGACACACAGCTGTCAGCACAGTACCAAGCTTGGTGGGGGGCACAGGGTACCCCTCCCCAGGCCGGCACCGCCTCTGGAGGGACTGACCTCAGGGAGAGGCAGTGGGCATGGCATTTGGGTGGTGGCGAGTCTGCCCAGGAAAACCACACGCTGGAAGGATCTCACCATCAGCTTGCTTTATTCTTCTTACTCTCCCCAGGTCAGTGAGGCAGCAACGTTCATACAAAGAAGACAAAGTGTTTTCTTGTAGCACCCCTCCCAAACCAATATTCCACAGATAACTCTAAGAGCTTTTCATCACATTTGGCCTAAGTGGAAGGTCCGGCATCCCACACATCAAAAATAACTCCCTTGGTGATGTTAGGCCAACTTACGAGCGCTCATTTCTATGAAAGGAGGAACATCTTGAGCAGAGAGAGGGTTGCAAGTCAGCCTCCCTCCGGCCCTTCTCGAGTCCTGCAGGTCAAAGAGGGGAGCCAGGCTGAGTGATCGACTCCCTTGGGAAGGGCGCCTTCTTCTGCTTGTCCCTGTCCAGGTGGCACCCGGGGCTGCTGGACCAGCAGGGAGCCTGGGGGTTCTCTGTGGACCCTGCACTCCGGCTGCCCACCAATCACTGGTGAACTAGTTCAGCATTTTTCTCCTTTTATAAACACAGTCCTTTGTGGAAAGGGGGACTATATGGATTCAAGAGGCTCACAGATGCTCACTTGGTAATGGCTCTGGTGTCAACAGAGCATGGAATTAATCTGTGGCAGCTTGGAATGTCCCGGGGCCAGAGAGGGTAGATTCTGTCAGAATGCCCGTGAGCATCTCAGATGGTAACTTCTGGCACCGCAGGGCCCCAGGAGTGCTGCAACTGGAGCCACGCAAAATGCAAATGCACGAGGACCTCTTGCTGTCACACAAGCAAGTGGGGGGAGGGGAGCACCAGCTTCCCTTCCGGTGCAGCCAGGAGACCCTGAGCTGGCAAGCCCCCTCTCTGTCTCTAATTCTCAGGTTGAGTTGCTGAATTCTCACTCCTACCAGCCTTTCTCTGCTGATCTGAGTTATTTGGATAAATGGGACAAAGACAACAACAAATATCCTAAGCTTTCAGCTCTCCCCTCGGGACCAGGCTTTCAATACACACATTCTCCCAGGCCTTCGTGAATTACAGAGAAAACAATAGGGAGCAAGTCCTCTATGGAGCTACAACTGGGGGTAGTTTAATTTGCAAGGGTCCGGGACAGGTCTCAAGTGTTGGGAGGTCACCCGCGCTGTCGTCTCTTCCGCCCCCGCAGCTTCAGCCGCCTGGCTGGCAGGCTGATGGGCTGTTTCCCGAACTTTTCCATGATCTCCCTGATCCTGGCCAGGTTGGTTTTGCTGAGTGTGAAGTCACACTGCGTGGCCCCCATGTCATAGCCGACCATGCAGTTCTTGGTGGATGAGGTGAACCCTTCGGCTTTGACTGTGACCACATACTCTCCGGGGTTCAGGAGGCGCCAGTAATCCCCATCGCTGGCTGTGAAGAAAAAGGAGGTGAATTCAGAGCAGTTCTCTTCTAAGGCAGATAGCACCAGCCCTGCTATTCCAGAACCGGTGTCCCAGCCAGAGAGAGACTCAGAGGCTGGCCTCGTGGAATTCGAGCCTCTGCAGGGACAAATTTTTTTTTTTTTTTTTTTGCAAATTCTTATTTTCCTCTTTGGAAGCCACCTTAATGGTTTTACCAGGCAGAGGGCTGGGGTGTAGGCTCCCCACAGTGTTCATACACATGAGTGAAGATGGAGAAATGATCACTCACACTCTCTCCTCTGTGACAATACACGCCGTTCATTATGAGCCTGAGCTTCCAAATGCTATGCCCTCACCACAAAATGCCATCTTGAAAAGCCATCAGCACCTGGCTTCCTGGTCTCCCTTAGCCTGGCGATAAATACAGAAGAGTAATTCTTTTAAGAGGTGGGGCTCTTCACTTCTGAAAAGAGAAAAGACTCCAGGGGACCAGGGCCAAATGATCTGCGAGGAGGCCTGGTACCTGCATTCCTCGGCCCAGGGGGCGGGGGCGGCAAGAGAAACGTGAAGCTGTAGGAGCCGAGACAGCGGTGCTGCGAAGCGGAGCTCCCCCCTCCCCCGCGACACTGCTGCTCAGTCACCCAATAACACGTCGGGGCCCCGGGTCCACCCCTAGCTCTGGACTCCACCTCTGTTGCAGAGAGGGCTTCCAGGCCAACGTTCTCCTCCCAGGAGCCTACAACAGGCTGAGGACACTTAGACCCCTGACCTGAAAAGAGGCTTTGAGGCGAAGAAGGGGTCACCAGTGACCCCCCCCACACACCCGTGGAGGACGTGGTGCCCAGAAGGTCGAGGCAGGCACTGATCCGCTGAATCTGCAAGCAAACTTCTGAGGCAGGTTGCATGATGAGTCCCCTTTCCACGTGAGTAATCTGATGCCCAGGGAGGCATGATGTCCGGCATGAGGTCACACGGCCAGTCACCAGCAGGCCCCCCAGCACCAGGTTCGGCTCTCTCTCTCACGGCAACCTGGGTGTCCCACCCATTCCGAGGCTTTGGTGCCAGAAGAAAAAGGAGAGGGGTAAGGAGGCCCCGGGCCGGGCTCCCTTGTCGACCACAAGCCCTGAAGTCTTCGAAGGGACGGGAGCAGAGCCGTGTGCGTGTGTGTGTGTGTGTGCGACTGTCTATCTCCCCCAAACTCACGTAGGACACTCTGAAGCGTCAGGTCGAAGTTACCATCTTTATTCAGCGGAGACAGCCCCACGCAAGTAAGTGAGCTCCCGAGAACGTGTTGTGAAAAATGAACTCCGAATAAAATCTTTAAAAAAAAAAAAAAAAGGGGCGCCTGGGTGGCTCAGTTGGTTAAGCGACTGCCTTCGGCTCGGGTCATGATCCTGGAGTCCCGGGATCGAGTCCCGCATCGGGCTCCCTGCTCGGCAGGGAGTCTGCTTCTCCCTCTGACCCTCCCCCCTCTCATGCTCTCTATCTCATTCTCTCTCTCAAATAAATAAATAAATAAAATCTTTAAAAAAAAAAAGAAAAATGAACTCCGTAGGCAGCCATCTGCCACACGTACATATGGCCCGCTCTCTGGCAAACAGGCCTCAGTGGGGCGAGTCGGGGTCCACCCAGCGCAGGCGGCTTGCTCCCCGGTTCCTCGGGGCTGCGCCCTGCGTCTTCCTTAGGAAAAAAATGCAAGCTTCTCAACGAAATAAAATGCCACCTCATGCTTGGCAGTGGGCAAGAGCCCGTGGAGAATTCTTTGTCATGCAGTCAGCTGGCCTGAGCCTCACGATGCAATTCACCCTTCGGAGAGGGAAACGTCCTTTGCTTTCCCCTGGGTTCCTATAGATTATCCCAAGTCTTTCTTCCTTGGCTCTCACCAGTGTGCAATTAACTTTAAAGTTTTCCTTTATAATTGTTTGTAGATCTCCCCCGCTAGAATGTCTACTCCCTGAGGTGAGTGGCCATATTTGTCTCCTTTACCACAGTAGCTCTAGGCCAACACACAGGATGTTCTTCGTAAGATATGTTCAAAGAATGAATGAAACTATCAGGAATTTGTTTAGGTTCACAGAATCAGAATGAGGGGTGTCCGCTCTGGAATCAACAAGTTTCTACTTCTGAAACATGGATGCTCTCCTCTACCTGGCAATGCACCCTCTCCCCCAAAAGTTCTTGGTTAGGCTTTCCCCACACTTCTCCCCAAGGCTCTTGTAATCTCAGTTTCTTCCCCCGACCACCAGTAAAGTCTAGAATCATCCACTTCATAAAATTCAGGGGTCAGCATGGTAGGTTACTATCCCACGGGGCAACCAGGTCTGTGTTCAAGGGTGAATGTTCTGTCGAGCTGTGGGGTTGGGGGTGGGTATACAGCTGCTGTCGCTCAGCACGGTGGACAGAGGGACAACCCAGATGCTCACAAATGTCCATTCGGTAGCAGGTCAGGTTAGTGTCCACCAGACAGAGGACGGTCATGGGGCATTCTGAGCCAGGTGCTTGGCCAACGTATTCGCATGCATTTAGAAAGTACTCTGACTAGCTTCTCTCCTTGGATTTCAATTCCCCCGTTGATTTTATGCAAAATCCCTCCTGAAAGAAAACTTGTCAGATCACAGAAGCCTTGGAGAGAGATCAAGGCAAACTCAGAGCGTATGTTGAGCACTGAAAGACGCCGAAATAAATACGATAAGGAACCATATGTAAAGTACAGAGTTCATCTATCAGGAGAATACACTGGGACATTATTTTAGGGGGAAATAAAGGAGAGGGGGAGGCGGCTCCCATCAGCTCATCCAAACCACTCTGGTGATCACAGGGCCTTGAGGTTCCGAGCTCACTGGGCACAGCGCTCTCTTCTGGCTTGTGGGGCTCGGGGGGCTCTTTCTCTCCCACCCCACTTAAAACCCTCCTGTTTTCTCACATGGCATACCAAGCACTAATAGTCCCAAGAACATTCTAGGTTCTTTTGTGAATCTTCCTTTTACAGGAGCTTGGTAGCAATGCTTAAAATACAAGTCCTATGCGGAGCCAGATACAGCAGCCCCCCTCAATTCGTAATGATCACCAGCACCCCGCGTTCAGAACCTGTGAACAAACGAATGGACGAACGGACGGATGAGTCCGGGAACGAACGCACGGCCCCGCGGACGCCGGTGAAGGGCAGCTATGTCCCGAACGCCTTGCTGCACGGCGGGAAAGCTCACGGGCAGCGGCTGTGAGGTCAAGGACAAACAGTAGGCAGGTTCAGAAAATTTGAGGCACGTCATGGCATTACACAGCGGTCTACTATTTTGTGGCATGTCAGCTACAATTCACCCATTTAAACAATCCCTGGCCTCCTGTACCGGGCATGTCGGCAGGCAGTCATGTCAGCCTGGCGCTGAAGAACACGTGGGCGATGTGTGAAGCCCAGCCTCCCCCCTCCTACGGTCCCAGAGGCTCCGTTTCCTTGAAGGTCAGTTGGGATCGCTTGTTTGAAGGACTGGGTCTGTTAATGCCTGTGAACAATCCAGAGAAGAGGCTCCTGTCCCCTCAGGAGGGACAGCATGGGGGCAAACACAGGGGCACCGCATTCGCAGTCCCTAGCCCCTGGCTCAAATCCCAGCTCAGCCCCTCTGCGCTACCAGAAACAACATGTCGGGTCCATTCATTCATTCGAACTCATTCATTCATTCAATAAATATTAAGCACCTACTGAATGCCAGGCAGTGTGCTTGTACTTAATTGAGGCACAAAAGGGTCAAGGACCCCTGGTCTAGAAGCCAGCGAGGGAGGGGCAGAGACACCAGAAGGATGGTAGTCAGATGTCAGGTGTGGAAGCGCTATGGGAGGAGAAGGCAGGAGGCCGGGAAGAATCCCAGATGGTAGGGGCAGGTGTGCAATGTTAGAAAAGGTGGTCACTGTGGTTGGCTTTGTTGACAGAGTGACAGCTGAACAAAGACCTGAAAAGGACAAGGAAGGAACCAAGTGATTCTCAAGGAAAGGAGGTTCAGGCGGCACGAGGTGCTAGAGCGAGGACCCCGACGTGTGGTCTCAGCCCTCCAGGAAGGAGCCTGGAGGGCTGTGGGAGAGGGCAGAAAGCACAGGGGAGCAATTATTCCTGTTTGACCAAAACCGGGACTCATGATTTTCAGTTTTAAATGGGGACAGTCCTGGGCAAACCAAGAGAGCTGGTCACCCCAGAAGAAGAGGCTTGGGAGGTAACCGGTAGCCCAATCCCGTATGGCTTTGGGGGTACCACAGTGACCCCGACAGGGGCCGGGGCTGAGACCAGCCAGCAGCCGAGGAGGTGCTGAGCGGGCATAGATTCTGCTGAGTGTGCTGTTAGACTGGGGGTGGGGGTGGGGCAGAACCAAGGCTGAGCCCCTGTTCCTCATCCGCACCTTGTAGATCATTCCAGCCATCACAGGCCGTACAAGTGATAACACATGGGGAGCACAGGAGCAAGATGGACTTGGCGCAGTTTCCCTGGGATTGCCCTTGTTTTAAATCTGACAGTCACACATCCTGAGAACCCTCTCAGTCCCGGGCCGCTGGCGGCCCCGTCCAGTGTAAGCTCTTGAACCAACAGGTCAAGGTCAGACCACATTAAACACCTGCCGAGTCAGCCTCAAATCCTGTTTCTCCCAGTTGTTCAAGTGTGTCCGAGGGCTGAACAGGTCTTTCTCGTGGCGATCACGATTTCCCTTCTCCTGCTGCTGAGTCTGTGCTCGGTGCCCGGGTGGGACCTGGAGTAGGTTGAATGATGGTCTCCAGAAGCTCACATTCTACTACCCAGACCCTCTAAATGTGACCTTATTTGGGAAAAGGATCTTCGCAGATACAATTAAGGATCTCCAGATGAAATCATCCTGTATGACCCGGGGGGGCCCTAAATCCAATGACAGGTGTCCTTATAAGAGGCAGAGAGGAGGAGGCAGAGGAGGAGGCCACAGAGATGGAGGCAAGAAGTGGAGTGACGTGGCCAAGGAAGCTGCAAGAGCCAAGGAAGGGTCCTCCCCAAGGGCTCCGGAGGGAGCACCGCCCTGCTGACACCAGGATTTCATACCTCCGGCCTCCCTAACTGTGAGAGACTACATTTCTGATCTTGTAAGTCTGTGGTCATCTTCACGACACGCACTGGAAACCAACACAGGACCCAATGCCCCCCGCCCACTGGAGCTGACACCAATGCAAAGCCATCTGCCCACGGTGATGACACCACGCTCCACAGTCTCCCTGCGGCCGAAAACCCCAGTGCGTGGGTGTCAGCAGGGCCCCGTACACACCATCACCACCAGAACCCCTGCAGACAACCTGCTTTAGGCTTCTAGCCAATTCTCTCCCCCGCGCACCTGTCACTGCATCACGTTGCACACGTTCCCTGTCACAGTCAAGGTCACTGTCTCCTTACCTGGCTCTGGGTGCACCGAGTACCATCCTGGGCAACAACGGTCCTGGGCACAAGGGAAAACTACATGGGTTTCCTGGCAGCGGGGAAGCCCTGAGTGAGCAGGGCCATGCTGGGGCTGGGAGTCCAACACCCGAACCCGGGCCCCACCTGCCCCTTAAACCACCAGTGGGTCCTTTTACCTCCCTGCACCTCTAGTTTTCACCTGAATAAGGGAAAAAGCAGAAAGCACAGGCTGAAAATCATGCTTTCCAGGGTCTGCATGGGGTGTCCGAGGAAAGAGACAAGAATTCAGCTCTCCGTAAGAAGTTTCCGGCACTTGACATGTGATTTTAACCCAAGTAAACCGCTTCGAGAAAACAGACATTCCCTACCGAGAGACAGTTCATCTATGCTCGTGGTTACCTGTTCGGATGTCATGGTTAACGCCTTCCACAGAGATAATGGCATTCGGAATTCCTTTCCCATGGAAGTCCCTCACCACACCTTTGATGCCGCGATGGACCTGCTCAGCAAACACAACAAGAAACGGGGTGAGCTCATGATGCACTTGACCCAAAGCACATGGTGAAGGAGGCTGTAAGCCGAACGCCACCCCAGGGCCACCGGGAACCCTCTCAGCACCTTATCTAGCTCAAAAGCTCCCTGGCTGTGCCTGGATTTGGTGTGTAAACTTCTGGGTTCCCTTTGGGTCCATGTACTGGGAAGTCTTCCATCGGAGTTCAGATATTCCAGAGGCTTAAAAAATATTAGGATCTGAGATGGTTCATATCAAGCACACCCAGTAAAAATGGAATTTAATTTTTTCTAGGCACATTTGTTTAGACTTTCCTGAACTCTATGGACCTAATATGTAGACCCAACCACTTAAGGGTCAGAGAGAAAAGAAAAGAGTCAAAGGCATTCCTATAAACTACAACTCCGTCCATAGGGCCCTTCTGCTGATGAACTGTGTCACATGATACACATCACTCTGAACCTCGTGCCTCAGTTTCCCCATCCATAGAATGATGTGACAATCGCAGGTGGCATACTATCATTTCCAATGACACTACACGTATTACTGTGCCTGGGCATTTTATCCATAGCAGGTGCCTTGGTGGCACGGGATTACTTGAAAATGATCAGAGCCTTCTCTCTTTTCATAGATGAAATGAAAAAGAGCCTTCACTCACAAAATTCCAGGGTGTGGACAGAGAGTGTGCTCATAGCTTCCCAAGAGGAAAGAACAGGTTCACACCCACTGTGCCAGGCAAGTGCACTCTGTGCAAGGGCTGCACAGAGTCTCCAGAGACCCTCGTGGGGCAGACTGGGACGCTAGGTGCCAGGGCTCACCTCTGCCAAGGTCAGTGGAGGTGGAGGTGCAGGTACCAGGAAGCTGGCAGCCTGAGCATTGCCTGAAAAGTGTCTTCTGATTCATCTACAACAACCCGTGGAAGGGGCGGCCTCCGTGCACGATCCTGCCAAGCCTCAGAACCACACTTCCTAATGGATGGGAGTCACAGTAGAGTCACATAATTGAGGCCCAACATTCCTTTTGTTTATTCCTCTGGTTTCCGGTTAGTCTGTTCCTTAGTGGGGCATGGATGTTACTGGATTCATTGTAGCACGGACCTAGAATTGGTTTACTCAATGCTACAGGATGGGCGTGTCCTTGGGAGCAAGAGGAAGGGAAGGCGGGGGAGGTGCCTAGTGGATCCAGCAGGGCTTCCTCACCAACTGCAAGCAGAACCCTGGCAGGGGCTCGGGGGACCTCTTCCCAGGAGCCTCCCACACCTGCAGCAGAGCCTCTCAGCCTCACAGCCATGGTGGGCACCATGGTATCTTCCAACAATCCCCATGGTGAAGTCCTTACTCCTGGGACCTTAGAATGTGACTGTATTTGGAGACCATGTCTTTAAAGAGGTGATGAAGTTAAAATGAGGTCATTCGGGTGGGCTCTGATCCAATCTGACTCCCTCCCCTATAAGAGGAAATGGGGACCCACAGAGGCACCAGGAGTGTGTGTGCATGGAGGAAAGACTATATAAGGACAAGGAGAGGAGACGGCCATCTGCCAGCCAGGGAGGCTCCTCCGAATGAAAAAACCTGCCAACACTTCGATCTTGGACGTCCAGCCTCCAGAACTGTAATTTCTGTTGCTTGAGCCCCCCTGGTGTCTATGTTTTTATGCAACCCTAGCAGACTAGCACAGGGGGCCTGAGCATGCTGGCTCGGACATGTCATCCCCTCCCCACAGGGCAGCATCTGGTCACACTCACTATGATGACCCAGTGTGAGCCATTGACAAGGCTTTACAGCTCACTCTGCAGGGCTGAATCAAGTGCAGATAGACGCTGGTTCTTCTAGCACTGTTTGGGGCTGGCCCAGCATGACAGCCGGAGTCCCAAGTACTAACTCAACTCAGTCTCAGGCTTTCAGTCCCCTAATAGGCCCCATTCCTTTGCCAGCCCCCACCCCGATGCGTGCTCATGCCATACCTGCTCCATGAACACGATTAAGGACTCTCGATTATTCTCCCACTCCTCGGGCAGCTCACTCTCGTGCGGATACTTATCACAGCCCACATAGATGGACAGCTCGAAGCAGTTGGTGTGAAGGTAGCTGAAATCATTGAGACCTGCCAAGCCAACCGGACAATGCTGTCACCAAACAGTGCTCCAAGGGGCAGGAGGGAGACAGCAAGAATGTTCAAGAATGGGATTCAGAAGACCTCATTTGAACAAGGAGGTGTCCAGTGTCTACTGTAGACTACAAATGAATTATAGCAAAGATGAGGGGAGGGGCTGGGGAGGGAGAGAGAAGATGTAGCCAGAATGGTTTCCGGGGAAGACAGGTGTACACGGGAACAACTCTGACAAAAGGAAGACCGAAATAAGTGCTTTTCAGATAAAATTCTGCTTATGAAACTCAGTTTAACACACTATTTTTAGAATAAAGCTACCATGAATTAACAGTATGGATTCTAAGCATTTGATTAAGTTTCTCTCTCTAGTTACTCTCTCTCAGCTACGGTTCTGGAACAGTGTTCTGTTCTAATTCATACCAAGAGCTACCCCGACCGCCCTCCACTGAGTGCCATCCATGAGCCCGGACCTGTCCTTAGCGCTCTGAATCCACTGACCACAAACTCAGCAGAGAGGTAGGCAGCACAGCACAATTTCATGAATAAGAAAATGGAGGTAGAGAACAGCTAAGAAATGTATCCAGAACCGTGTGTCTGGAAAGTGCCAGAGTCAGGGTTTGAACCTATAGGTGTGTGTGACGCCAACACCTTGCTCTTATCTCCAGGGCTTGGCTGCTTGGGGGCCGCAGGACGAGCATACTCACCCACTGAGCCTGACGGCAGACGGATCTCGAACATCCGACACTTTTGCAACAGGACGTGAAACGCCCAGCCTGGCATGGGGTCAGGCTCCACATTAGCATCCTAGGGCTGCTGTTACAAACGACCACAAACTGGGGGGCTTAAAACGACAGAAATGTATCCTCCCATAGTTCTAGCGGCTGGGGGTCTGAAATCGAGGTGTTGGCAGGGCTGTGCTCCCTCCAGAGGCTCTAGGGGAGGAAACTTTCTCGTCTCTTCCAGCTTCTGGTAGCCCCCAGCGTCCCTTGGCTTGTGGCTACGTCACTCTGACCTTTGTCTCTGTCTTCACGTGGCCTTCTCCCCTGTGTCTGTGTTGCCTTCTCTTAAGGACATTTATCAATGATTTTAGGGCCCATCTAGGTAACCCAGGATACCCTCACCTTGAGACCCTTAATTTAATTGCACCTGCAATGTCTGTGGCCATACCACCCTGAACACGCGCCATCTTGCCTAATTACACCGCAAAGACCCATTTTTCAAATAAGGTCACATTCACAGGTTGCAGAGATTAGGAAGCAGATATATACTTTTTCAGGGGAGGGCACCACTCAACCCACTATAGCACCCAATATTTGCGAAGCGAAGAAATGAATGTTAGGTGGCATCAAGTTCTTCCTGACGTTTTTGTTTTTGGGCAACAGGGTGATTAGCAAGAACACAGTGCAGCTATGCTGTGTGTGACCGCAGGAAGCACATGCCCTGCAGGAGCCCCTCTACGAGCCCCCCTTGGGTTCCGAGGGTCAGGGCTAAGAGAGCAGAGTGGGGCGTGCTGGGTTTCTCTGTGGTGACTAAGAAGGAGCAGGTCCTCCTGCGCAACCAGCCTCGGTCCTCACCATGCATCTTCCCTCCTTCTTGCCTACCTCGCCATCACGCTCAGTGATGTCCTGCTTAGGAGAAATGCCTGATTAAAAATCATGGCTTTGGGGGGCAAGAGCAATTCCACATCAATCTGCTGCCTAATCACTAACGTCATGAGCAAAATGGTACAAAACATACAGCCGCCCTCTCTGGAGGATTCCAGATTTGAACCACTCACATGTCACCAGATTGGCCTTTGACCACGTTTGTGATAAGACAGGCAGAGAGCTGCGGGATGGAAGGGGTGGGACCCTGTCACGTCAATGGGACATTCTTCACAGGGGTTTGGTCTGGCTGGAGAAGGCTGGTCAAAAGGCCACGTCAACGCATCCACTTGAACCCGAAGTATGGAATTACAAGAGGGCACAGTGTGGCTGACAGACACCAGGCCCACTAGTTAGCACAGGCAGGACACAACTGAGAGGGCTGGATGCCTCTGTGCATATAACATTCTCATTATGCCCAGCCTTTCAGGCCCTGTTGATACGGAAATAAATCAGTGTTACATATGAAACTCTGGAGTGGGCCTGCCACCCTGCCATGTGTCTTCAAAGCACTAAAAGTACCAGACGAATGGGTGAAATGCTGAGAAGCCAGGAGAAGGGTGGAAAAGCTTGAGCCAGGCTACCTTTGCTGCTGACTTCTGGCCCAGCAGCAAATGGCATGAGCCGAGAATACTTGCTGAAGAATGGTTTCAAAAGCATGACGTGTGGGCAAGGAACTGCGGCGTGACCCAGACAGACCCCCCTCCCCACACCCCACGTCCCAGCGGGATGGGCAAGATGTTCCTCTGTGCTCTCCTGGCCTAGAATCCTACTGTCTCGGCTCCCGCGTGGAGCACAGAGCTGTGCCTTCCTTAAGGCCCGGGTGCCCATCACCAGTTCAACGTGCACTTCATTATGGGGCAGAGGACGCGGGGTGGCAGCCCGGGAACCAAGGGGGCCTGGCGTCACTCTGGGAGTTGAGATGCACACGCTACGAATGATGTGTGTTTTGAGCTTTCCTGAAGCCTGCTCTCCACGGCCCCATCTCCATTAACTAATGCCTGCCAGTCGCTGCTAATGAGCGAGCAAGAACCGAACAAAAAGATGGAGTGGAGGGGGAGGGGGAGGGAAGGAAATTAGAAGTCACATTTCATTAATCTACGGAGAGAGGAATCTGCACACTTCCTCACACCACCAGGAGGAAGAATGATTAAGAAGGCTCGAGCCGCCCCATGGCTCTGCCACAGAAGTCCCTGAAATAATGGAAAATATAATTGATAGGAAAAAATCAAATGCTGCCTATGTGATTATGTGGCAGCCAACTTTTCAAAACGTGACTATTGACCTGGCGCCGGCGAATCCAGCTGGGTCTATACCCGAGGTACTTGCAAGCAGCCGTGAAAAATAAACAGATCGTTCACGTTAAGGCTGTTGCCGGTTTTCAGGGCTAGACCTGAAAAGCAAGAATGGTTTTTGGCCATTAGAAAATTCTCTCGATTGGCAGGGATTTGCCTTTTTTTTTTTTTTTTTTTTTGTGCAGGGCAAAACTATGATGGTAAATAAATAAAACACCTCTGCTGGGTAGGGAACCCAGAAGAAAATGGCAAGCTTTCTGTACATGTTAAAACATGGCCACGGGAACAAATCTGTTCACTACTTTTTTAGTTTTCTTTTCCCAAGCACGGACACATACCTGAAAAGCACGTGAAGGCTGAATCTAGCAAAGGGAAATAATGTGATGGTTAATTAGGGAAAAAGAGAGCAGGAGGTGTGAATGCGAGCATACACTATGGGAAGAGGGGGGAAGGCAGACAGGGGAGTGGGTCAAAGCTGTATGCTTCTCTGGTAAGCTAGACAGAGAACACCCCCCACCTGCCACCCACGTGAGCCTCACGACAGTCCCAAAGGGCTCACCATCTTCATTGTTACCATCATGCCCATTTCGCAAATGGAAAATATGGGGTTCAGAGAGGTCAAGGAACTCCCCTGGAGTCATAGAGCATCTGAGGGATGAACTGGAATGTGAATCTAGGTCTAGCTGACATGGAACGTTTTTCAAATTCATCGGTGGTTCGACAACCCTAACAAAGTCAAGAAAATAAGCAGCGAGCATCATGCTTGGGGTCTTGCCATCCCAAAGCTGGGGGACCTTAGGAAATGTGACACCCTCATCCCTCCTCGTCTGGGAGCCCTGGGCCGGCACATCCTGGACGCAGCAAAGAAAGCTTATCCTGAAATGGGACCCCAGGGTCCTCTGCGGCTGCTATGAAGGAATTCCCGAAGTCCCTGCTGGAGGCCCCTCTGGTCCTGCGTGGATGCCAGGAGCAAAACCGCATACTCCCCGCATCGCACACGGGCGGGCTTCGACCAAATGCCCTGGTCTGCCTGGGAGGCCGGGCCACCGACCTCCAGCAGACGGGAGGTGTGTGCAACAGTGTTCACCACACATCGGGCCTCAGGACACACCTGCAGCTTGGAGTCACTTCACACCTGAGCGTGGGATCAATGCCCGGCCCTTCTGGGGGCCTACAGCATGGGACACCGCCATGACGGGCACAGCTCTGGGTAAAAACACCCAGCCCCAGCACCAACACACACATGCTCTCTGCCCCTCTGCTGGGTTTGTTTTTGGTCTGTTACTTCCTTGCAAGTCTACATTTACCCGTCTCTGACGCTACAGAATCCGAGTAGCTCGGTGCTGAGAGCAGGCCAAGCAGACGCAGCTCTGCCCCCTTTCTTGCTTGGAGAGATCCCTTCAGATCTCCAAGCCCTGGTGATCTTGTTCATAAAACGGGGAGTAGCCACACACCCCAAGACTATCGGAAGGATGAAGGAGGAGTCTGCGTAGAGTGCTGGCACCCTGTCAAAGCCAGACTACAGTCACTACTATCCCCATGACAAATGATAAGGGACGGCCGGGTCCCTCCCTGTCCCAGCCGTCCATTGCCACGTTTGGCTGCACAATGACAGCAAGGCCACCCGAGACTTACTTCCAGCGACAGTGTGCCAGGAGGCCCCATTGACAGTCCCGTCCTCTTTCTGGAAGTCCTCTGTGTGGCATGCCCTCCGCCTGGCATCGGTCATGAGGCGGTGTGTGGAGGCGTAGGAGTAGGCCAGCCAGCGGAACACGTGGTCGTCGGGCGTGGGGCTGGGCTCTTGTGTCTTCCACAGGGACCGCACCATGTCGTAGGGGTACGCCACCACCAGCTCGCCCCCCTGCAGGTTGCCGCCCAGGACAAAGGGGATTTTTTCCATCCACGCTATGACAGCCCTGGTCTCTACCGCCACCTGCGAACACAGCGAATTCAAGCAGGTTTTGAGAAATAAAAATCGGAAGGAAACTGCATTCTCGCCCTACTTTCCAAACGGGGACATAGTTGAAAGTGCAACCATTTTATGGAATACTTGTAGCAAAAATGTAGAATTTCAAAATCGGTCCGAGGAAAACTGGACTTCGTGCAAATCATGGATAAAAAAAGAAAAATCTAGGGAAGTTTCTTTTTTGCAGGAATATTCCAGTTAATGCCCAGAGGGAAAGACGGAGTTAGTGTATCAACACTATGGCAACTCCAATGAATCAATGGGCCAGGCATGTTCATCCCTGGCTCCAGAGAGCAGAGAAAGAGAGAAAACCAACAGAATGTGTCTCCCGAGGGAAGAACATGCACCTCAAAGAGAAACATCAACCCGGAAAATGACCAAGCCTCTAATCTGGGGGCCGGCAGCCTTTCTCTGCAAAGGACCAGATGGGAAATACTTGAGGTTTTGAGGGGCCTGCAGTCTCTGTCCCAACTACCCAACTCTGTCCTAGTAGCTGGGGAAGCACCAGAGACAATATGCAAATGGTGTTCCAATAAAACACCACGTGCACCAACAAACCTGGGTGGGAAGTAGCCCACCTGCAGGCTGTAGCTTGCCCACCCTGTTCCGTGGAGCCCAGTCCGGTCTACAGCTCACTGCCACCTTACCGGAAACACAGAAGAATAGGTTACATGACATGATAAGTATACACTCAGCAGCACCCAGACAGTGGAAAATGCGACAAGACGATCTAATCTAGTTGCTGACAACCTAGTTGCTACGACATAAGCAACGAGCTGAACAACAGCAAAACTCTGAGGATAAAAGGCAGGAAGTGAAACAGGAGAAAGCTTTGGGTTAAAGGAGACAGGAAAGCCGGTGCACCGGATCACAATGAGGGAGCTTTAGTTGGCTCCTGATTTAAACAAACCAGGGTGTCTCAGTCGGGTAAGCGGCCGACTCTTGATTTGGGCTCAGGTCGTGATCTCATGGGTCATGAGATCAAGTCCCACAAAGGGCTCCACGGTCAGTGGGGAGACTGCTTGAGATTCTCTCTCTCCCTCTGCTCCTCCCCCTCCCTCTCTCTCTAAAACAAATAAATAAATCTTAAGAAAGAGAGAGAGAATGATAATAGGGCGAACGTGAACCCTGCCTGGATATTTCATAACACTAAGAAATAAGTGATTTTGATATAATAATGGTAATTGTTCATGGCTTTAAAAGAGGCTCTGAACTTTTAGAGATACTTACTGAAATATTTGCAAATGAAATGACACCATTCCTGGGATTTGCCTCAGTAATTCTGGGAAGGAGGAGAAAGTGGGTGCAGATGTAGATGGACCGAGAACGGACAGGTGTTGAAGTTGAGATGGACACATGGGGGGCCTGAAAGCTTTCGCTCCAATTCCGTATGATTGGCATTTTTTTTTTTTTTTTATGATAAAAACTTGAAAGAAAGAAAGAAAGAGAAAGAGTGGGAGGGAGGGAGGAAGGAAGGAACTCACAATGTTAGAAGCAAAAATTAGAAAGCCTGACAAGGTCAATACTGATATGAATTCAGTTATTTATCCTAAGTTACTGATTCCTATGAAGAGAATTTCAGCAGAATAAAATTTGATAATGGAAAAGAAAGAAACACTGGAAATGGCTTAGCTGTGCAGTACAGAAAGTTGATTGAGGAATGAAATTGACTTAGGATTCATTAAGTTTTGTTTTTATTCCTAAACACATCAGGGGCCCTGGATGGGACTACTTGTAGAACTTGGCTCAGGACACAGTATCATCGCTGGTCCGTGCTTGTCCTCTTCTCTATGTTGATACGATAAACACCCATAAACCCACCATCCGTGCCCAAAACCAGATCTTACGGACAATTTCTGCATAATATGTGACTCCCCTGTCCCATCCTCCTGCTTCCCACTCGGAGGTAACCACTGTATCCTCAATGATACGATTCTCATTCTTCTTGTTTTATCCTGTATGTGTGTGCTTAAAAATACATTATTTGGTTTTACTTGTTTTTGCTCTTAAAAACGGGGGGGTAACCATACTGATTGTTGTCTTCTGCAATTTTTTTCTCTCAATTCATGTTTCCAAGACGTATCTCTGCATTGTTGCCCAAAGCTGTAGCTCAGTCTTTCCCACTTCGGTATGACGATGTCATCATTTATCTGTCCTTGTGATGGTGGGCATACAGGTAATTTTCCATTTTTTGCTGTACTGAACAGCACTGCTTTGAGCTTTCTTCTGGTATACATGTGCTGAAATTTATCTTGCATAAATCACCAGAAGTGGGACTGCAGAGTCATAGGAAATACACATATTCCACTTTACAAGACAATCAAATTATCTTCCAAAGTCACGGTGCTAATTCACACTTGCACCCACAATGCATGAGAGATCCACTGGCCCCACACCCTCTCCAACGCTCAGCTACTGTCAGACTTCTTAATCTGCCAACCAGTGGGTGTAAAATGTTCTCTTATTTGCATTCCTTAGTACTAGTAAGGCTGAACATATTTTCATGTTTATTAACCATGTCTCCTCTTCCACAAATTGCCTCTTCATATTCTTTTACCATTTTTCTATTGAGCCGTTTATATTTTTCTTATTTGTTATTCTTTATGTATTTTAAAGTTCTCATTCTTTTCCAATTACCTAATTTGCAAATAATTTCTCTCGGTTTTTAGCTTCTCTCTTACAGTTTTTAAAATTTTTGATGAGCAAGCTTTCTTATTTCGATGTAGTTGAGTTTATTAATCTTTTATTTTATGATTAATGTCTTTTAAAATAGCCTTCTTCACCCTGAAACTAGTTATCTGTATTATAAAGATTCACTAAGAGATTTTACTGGGAGTGATTATTAAATCTTATCAAATGATTCTTTCATACAGACAAATCCCTTCGTAATTTTCTTCTTGGTTTTCTATCATTTCTTTGATTTATACTCTTATTTTTCTATCACAATCTTTATACATTTTGAGGGGTTTCTTCTGTTATTCGTGTGCTAGTTTCTTTAGCTATTTTTTAGCCTTTCTTCTTTGGAATATAATCACTGAAAGGTATAAAATTCCTGAAAGCACAGGAGTTTCTGTGGCACTCTGCAAATTTTGATACGTAACATTTTCATTACTGTTGGGCTCTGATTATTTTTTAGTTGCCAGTACAGTCTTTCTCTTTGACTCATTATTTAGAAGTATTTTTTTTTTTAATTTTCTAAAGACGTGGTGATATTTTCATTAACCTTATTACCGTCTTTGGTTGAACTGTATGCTGGTGAGAGCATCATGGTCTGACTCGTATTCTCTGAAACTGGGTGAGATTTCCTTTACAGCCCAGAGCATTGTCAATTTCTTAAAACACTCCAGGGATTACTCAGGAGAATATATTATTATCTACCTAGTGGTTGTAGACTTCTTATAGATCGCTACGTCAAGCCTGTTGACTGTTCTTCAAGTCTTTATCTTTGCTGACTGCTTATCTATCCAACATAACCACAACTGAAAAAGATATTTGTGGTGGCAGATCTGTGTAATTCCCCGTTGTGTTTCCCAAAAACAAGCTCAGAAAGCTAAATTCTAGTCTTAAAGCAAAGACTGATATCCAAGGACTTTCTATGGCTATGCTGAAGAATTCCTTATTTCTCATAGCCTCAGGGCCAAGAACACTGGCAACCATATTCCAATACTGGTCCAAGAGTTCCCAAACTATAACATCCCTTGAATTCTCAGCTTTACCAGACGTCATTAGTACAGTAGTCTGAAAGCAAAATGTGTGTGTGTGTGTGTGTGTGTGTGTGTGTAGGGGATTGTATAGGTTGGAATTAGGAAATATGAGAGAGAATGCAGAAGACTCAGAGGCACTGAACCCTTTACCACCCCATAAGCTGCCCATGGGCACCCTAACCACACCACCAATACTAGCACTGTCTGTCTACATCACTTGACTGGTTGCTTCTTGAGGGCCTGGGTAACACCATCCTGCGCATCCCTAAATGAGGCAAGCATGCCGGCCTTCCTCCAGTAAGCGGTACCCACCCATGCGGTGGGCTGGAGCCCCAAGGCAGAGTGGGGGAGTTGCCTTCTATCCATTCATCATCTCTTCCTTGATTCCTCAGGAACAGAAGCTAGTGATGTTTATTTTTGTTTTCTTGAGCTTGCAATGTGCTTGCCTAAAACGTAGCATTTTCCAGCCTTCCCCGCAGTGGGTTGATAGCATGTTTTGACTAAATTCTGGCCAATGAGATTGAAGCATAAGTATTATGGAGGAAATCTAGGAATGACTCTTAAAATTAACTGAATTCTCTAAGAGGAGGATCTTCTTTTTTCTTTTTGGTTTTTGCTTAACTCTTGTTTCCCTCTTCCTTCACAGAGATGACAGCTGGACCCACTGCCGTCTTGGATTTTGAGAATGGAAGTCAGATGCTAACATGGCAGAGGCAGAAAGACAAGTCATTGGTTCCTGATGCTCATGGGGCTTCTATCTGGCCGGGCTTCTATCATCTGCCTTTAGGGTCCTTCTATATAAAAATAAATAAATAAACAAACTTCTCCCTCATTAAGCTGTTGCCATTTTGGTTTTTCCGTTGTTCCCACTGAACCTAACCCTAACTCATACAAGCAATCAAGGCAGCCCTCCTGAAGGACATATACTATCAGAGGTCAGGGGTAAAGAGGTAGATGACTATGGGCAGGGGAGGCAATAAAAGGCATGCAAAATTTTGTGAAAATTCTTTCTCCAACATACGTTCTTTGCAAAAGACGACCGGAAAATTCGGGGCGAACATTTCTCATTCGATGCATTTTTTTTTCTTTCCAAAGAAGCATGACATGTAATAATCCGTAGGGATTTATTAAAATAAAATTAAGATCTCTCAAGCAATCAATAAGGTCTAAGGACAATTTCATAGCAATTCCATAGCACTGCCAAAGCTGAGGGTAGTAAGGATAGTAATGACACACAGAGTTCAGGGGCAGGGTTTTTGGCTTTTTTTGTTGTTGTTGTTTTTAAAGCCCTGTGTGGTTGTAAAGAAATCTAATTCAGCGATTTCTCTTTTATGAAGAATATCCACAAATGTAAACTTTAAAGGTAGTTATTATCTAGCACACTTCCCCACTTCAGGAGAAAACATGAAAGAAAAACAAAATGGTTTTGTCTTGCTCTTAAATGTCAGATCCTCCGCAAATACCAGCGGGTGTTAACTTTGGCCTTCCACTGCTCTGCAGATGATGGGGTATTTTTACTCACCGTGGCATTTTCAGACAGAAACCACTCAGGGATTGCAATATAGTGATTGGGAACTTTCCTTGGAATGTTCTGTCGGTCCTCTGCCTCCCAGAGCAGCGTGTTTAAGTCGGGAAAGTTGTTGTTGATGTCGATGCCATCGTGGGTCCAGCGCCCCAGGGACCAGCCACCCAGCTCCGAGCCCTGGGGGACAATTCCAAGCGTGAGGGACCCACAGGCTTCCGGACTTCTCTCACACAAGACGTCCCCGTCTCCACGCCCACCATCCCCACCTGGGTGTGTCTCTAAGCCTCACGCGCCCTCTGGCCCAAAGACAGCACCCAGAACACTGAAGCATCTTCTAGTACTAGGTGGATGGTGGGTAATATCGCCAAATCACCCCAAGAGGGAATGCAGAGCCTCACCCCAGCCACATGGCAGTGTTCAAGAAGTATTAAAATTTCTTCTCCCCTACCCCCCACCCCCAGAGAGCTTCTAGACTGTCAGATGAAACTCCGAGTAGGAATGAATCCAAGAGTCCGGCATTGCAAAATCAACCATCACCGTGTTAACTCATTCTCCCTGCCATGCCCATAAGTTGGGCTCGCAAACCCCTGCCCAACGGATCTTGCAAATCGGGCACTGAAAATCCCTAACCAACTCTGTACCCATAAACACAACCACAATTCTGTATTATAAGGCGTGCGTGTGATAGGTACCAAGCACAGTTTTCCACTTTATTCCCAGATAATACTAATAATAGTCTATTCATAACTATAACCTACACAAACTAGAACATGAAATGTAAACGATATATCAGAATAATAAAAACAACTCTTCTCGGAGCGCTGAAAGGATTATAGGCAACAACTGAATTGAAGGCCTGCCTTGATTATGTGCTCCATCAATGTTCAGTGTTATTTTTATTCTGTTCTGTTGTGATCACTGAAAATGCAACCAGTATTATTCCTTCCTGTTCACTTTCTCCAGTTTGTTGGCATGTCTACTTCTCGGGTGCCCATGATTCTCAATTCCTGCTTTGCATCTTTCATGAACCCTGTGAGTTTCCCTGCCTCAGCAGAGAGACACTGAAAGGGAAGCCAGTGATACGGAACAGAAATTGACTCGTGGCCCAGCGTGCTCTGCGGCGGGGGCCTAGCGGCTGCCCTGACCAAGAGGAACAGCGTCATTACCCCTTCGTAGGCCTTCTCGTAGCCATCGGGGTTGAGGGAGGGGAGGATGTGAATCCGGGTCTCCTCCACCAGGTGGACGATGCGCGCGTTGCGGGCCAAGTACTCTTGGCACAGGAACTGCATCAGCAACAAGGTCAGCTCTCGGCCCAGCACCTCGTTGCCATGGGCCCCTGCGATGTAGTGGAACTCCGGCTCACCTTTACTCAAAGACGGGAAAAAATACAGGTTCATATCGATGCTTCGAGCAGGACAGCCCTTACCATTTAGGATTAAAAAATCTCTGAGTAATATCAACTTACAATTTTACCCTAGGTCTTCTTTCAAATAGGCCCCCCAAGTTATATCACTATACTTTTTCTTTTTTAATTCCCAAATAGGTATATAAGAAAATGTGTAGAAAACTCTTAGATGATACCAGCCCCTGGGTAATCATGTTTATTCTTATTTAACAAAAATGGAGAAAGTAACACAGTGCGTAAGGTTTAAAATTTACAAATGAAACACAAGCCATAACAATGATTTTTCTCCTGGGAGGCAAGCGTTCTTCTCAAAAGAAGGTCCTATTAAATCTTACAAGGACACAAAGATGGAAAAATAGAAGCAGAAAACAGATCAGCAGGGGACATCAACACTGACACAATTTTGTAAGGGGGCTGCCTTTGAGGTTTTCCTCTTCCGAGCTCAGCTTCTCCAGTGTTGGGGCTTATCAGTGCCCAGCATGGGCTGACAATACTTCTTCTCTCACTGGCAAAGCTACTGCTTTTAAGGAAATGTGATTTTACCTGCAGATCAAGCCCTTACCCTTTCAAAGAAACTCCTACGAGGAACTCCTGAGATACTGACAAATTTAGAGTTGAACGAAGCAGACAAATCTCAGACTTAAATATCGGTGGATTTCTAAAGGACTCGCGGATTTCCCAAAAAGAAAACCTGAGAAGCCCCTCTGACCCGGAGGAGAATCCAGGTTCCAGAGTGACTGAATGAGAAATGGCTGAAGATAGGAAATGCTCAAAAATAGAATTAAATTTAAAAAAAAATTAGGGGACCTCCCTCTAACTTAAGCCATTAATAACTTAAGTCCAGAACTTTCTTCTATAAAAGGATTCAGTCCTAACCAACTCTGGCCACTTTTTTCTTTGGTCAGTGTGACTGGCCTCAGAGCTGGAGAATAGAATGAAATGTGGTTCATCTGGAGAAAAGGAAGGTATCTCTACCTTAAATAAGTCAACAGCCTATATCACAAGATAAGAGCTTCACAGAACCAGAATTTGCAGAATCTGTGTGTGAGAGTGGTGCGTGGACAGCGCCTGGCCTGTTTCATGAATGTTCTCACAGAGGTGAGCCATCTCCTGGCTCTTTAAGAAGGCACAAGACATGGAGGGACAGGTGTCTCACAGAGGGGTAACCTCACCAACTTCATGCTCCCCAGGGTGGTCGGAGATCTCCACGGCATACAGCTTCAGGCCCTGGTGGCTCTTGCCAATGTTGTAAATTCTGGTGATGTTGGGGCACATTTCGTTCACAACCTTCATCAGCTGAAAAACAAAACGGAGTTAAGGCTCTAAGCAATGATGGCTGTTCTCTAAAGGCACAGAGCTCCCAAGATAGCCACCTGCTGGTCCCCTCCCACAGCCCCCCTGCACACCCTCACCCTCCCCAAACACCAGAGCTATCCCCTCTGCCTGGAATGTTCTCCTCGGGTTGTGATTATCACCTTCCTTCGCTGTGGTCTTACCTTTTTATTGTGATTTCCTGTTTTATTTTTGTCTCCTCGCTAGACCACAGATCCTTTTTTGTAAAGATGATATTTATTTATTTGACAGAGAGAGCGAAAGAGAGAGAGAGAGAGAGAACACAAGCAGGGGGAGCAGCAGAGGGAGAGGGAGAAGCAGACTCCCCGCCGAGCAGGAGCCCGATGCGGGGCTCGATCCCAGGACCCTGGGACCATGACCTGAGCCAAAGGCAGATGCTTCACCAAATGAGCCACCCAGGCGCCCCAAGGCTACAGATCTTTTAAGGGACAGATTGAGCCTTTGCTCTCCATAACCCTGCTTAAATAAATATTTATTACCGAATATCAATTTTTTTCTCATAATTTAATGAGCATCTTTGGTGTGTCAGGCTGAGGGAAGACACGGCTCCCACCCTGCTGGAGCTTATGGTGCAAAACAGAGGGGAGTCATCTGAAGACCCAGTTCACTGATGCTAAGTAAGGGGGTGCAGGGAAACCATGATAATGGTGCATCATGTGGTGAAAAGGTGGGGAAAGTAGGCTTTGACGAGGAAGTGAAATTCGACATGTGTTATTTCCTGAATTTTACATTTAAAGTTGAGCTCGTTAGACAGACAGCTTTGGTCTGAGGGGATGAGACGAGCTGCCGAAGGAGGTAAGGAGGGCTCTGCTGATCACAGGAGTACAGGCTGCCCTTGAGGGGAACGGGGGGGCTGTTGGGAACTCTCGTCCGCAACAGGGCAAAAGCAGAGACCCGCCATCACTGGAGAGACAGCATGCGAGGGAACCACGGCTTCTACACCCATCACCGTGGGGACACATACATGCTGCAGGGTTGAAGGGGGACCACGTGCACAGCACCACATCTTCCCAAGGGACACAGTAATAGTGTCACTAATAATGTCAACTATTGCATTAGCCACACGTTCTATTTCTTCACTGATTTTCACTGTCATGACCTCCAGGTGAAGTAAGTAAGGCAGAGGTGACTGTCCCCATTCTACAGATATGGAGACTGAGGCTCAGAGAACCACTGAGTGATTTGCCCAGGGTCACTCAGCTGGTACCAGGTGCTGTGGACTCAGGGCTCTTCTGCGTCCCTGAAGGTGCAGCAAAGCAATGAACACCAGCACATCTCTGCTGCCCGTTTTGTCAGCTGCACGCCATGACCCTTCTGAAGATGGCCACAGCACAATCACCATCTGATTTGGGGTCCCACATACTAGTCCCTACAGACTGCAGTCATCCTCATCCACCACCATCAACCTCAGCAAATCCTTAGCAGCAGATGATCCACTGCCTTGGTTCAGATCAATGACTAGTTCTGCAGACACAGCCCCTCGAGTCATCCTTAACTAGGCAACAAAGACAACCATCCAGCACACAGCCTGGCTGTCACTTAATGCCTACCCTCCTCCTCCATCCAATCAGCTGCAGGAGCAACATGCCACCTGTGTTTGAGATCAGGACCTTGACACTGGAGCACAAACTCCACCTTCCGTTGGATGCACACTTAGCCCTGGAGACATCTCTTGGTATGGGATAGCCTCAGCCGTGACTCACCAGTCACCTCTTCACACCCCAGCCATCCTAGCGTTTTCCTCCCAGCCACATTCCCTCCGTGTGCTGTGGTGTCATGAGCACCTTCACACATGAGAATGAGGACACAGGCATTTGAGGAATCTCCTTTCTGAAGGTTCTTTACAGTTCCCTCTGCACAGAAAGAAATTCTCTCTGAAATGCCAGGAAGGGTTTCCCCAGTGGCCACCACCCATTAATGACCTAGCTGGTGATCCACCGTGCTTATTTCTGAAAGGAGTCAAAGATGTCCTTATTGGAGTTGCAGTCTTGATGGTTAAAGTGACAGTAAAGACTAGAACTTCTTCCTGGCCTCAGAGCATGCATTCTCAGTGGGGGTGACATCACCCCCCAAGAGGCAAAAACTGGTTGTCTGGGGCTAAAGGTCTCACACATCACAATGCTCTGTGGCCCTCCAAAGCTCAGCCCTACCCAACAAAATCTCACTCTTAATATTTAATATAATGGGCAGAGGATAATTAAGAAAGTGTCTAAAAAGCCTCCTGGGGGTGGGGTGGTGATATGAAACCAGGGTGAGATCGATCACCTAGAGAGCGTGTGGGTTTGCAGAGTCTGAGCCTCATTGAGACTCTGTTTCCTCATCCCCGAGATGGGAATACACTTTGCCAACCTTGTATCTATCTACTGAATCCTAGGCTCTGCTGCTTCCCTCCTGCTCTGCAGGAGAGAGAAACAGAGCCCTTCTCTAGCAATTCAGTTTCCAGCAATATACAAGAAGGGACTTCTGCATAAAGGATGCTACAATGACAGGCACATGGCACTTGCTGTGGTGGCTTCACCCTCTCCCCGGGGACACTAAGCCGGGAGATGTCCCAGTGCTCCAGGGCACAAGGCAGCAGGGAAGAGCACACTGCATCCACTCCCTGGGACGTTCTGCAGCATCACAATTACAACTATGGGGACAGCGTGGAAAATGGCTCGTGATCCAACATTAACTGAGGGAAGCAAGGCAAAATTATCACCATCCTCTCATCAAAATCGAATGAATTCTGTGAATGTAGAGACTGAAACCCTGGACAGGAATGGGGGGAAATGCAAATGGCTGATTCTTGAGGGTGGTGGGCTCAGGGAAGATGGACCTTAGACTTTGGGTTTGCATTTGATGTTGACATAGTATTGTTTCTCCAATGAATTAAAATGTTTTTAAAAAGGGCGGAGGGAGAAGAGAAAAAGTCCCCTTCCACCAGCTTTATTGATTTGCCTGAGAAACAGGCACTGCATCTGGTCCCATGGAGAAGGAATCCCAGAGGGTAGGAGGGGAGAATGGTGGTAGGAGGCACCCAGGGTTGAGGAGATGGGCTCGTCCGGGTCCGCAGGTGGGCTGCCCTGCCCCGGCTTCTTGCCACCATCGCCCCCCCGCCCCCCACAAGTGCACCACAGCCTGCTGCCCCACAGCCTGGCGCCCCGACCCGCCTTCGCTGCCCTGGAAATCAAAGCCAAACCATGAACCTTTTCCTCGAAACCACTTATTTTTCTCCCTTTGTGGATGGTACCTCACCCTCCTGGGAAGCATGCCAGACCCCTCTCTCTCTCTCCCAACTCATTCCAACAGGAGACCTAGGACTAGCCAGTCCTCCTCAGAACTGCCTCTCTCTCAGCTGTCTTCAGGCCTGGTGGCCCCTCTCCTGGGGACCACGGCCATCCCTGACAGTCCACTCCCCACATGCCTTCCAGACAGATCTCCCTAAAACACTGCTCTGCCACATAAAACCCCCTCTGATTCTCAGACACTATACCAAAGCCTCTCCCAGCACTCAGGCAAGCCTTCTCTCCCAGCAGACTGTTCCAGAAGCATGCCATTCTGCTCCTACTTCCATCCCTTTGCTCTTGCTGCCTGGGGTGCCCTCCCTTCTGTCTCCACCTGCCCAAGGCTGGCCAACAGCCCCGGACCATAGCCGACCCCATCTGCATCCAAAGCCCATCCCAACCAGGCCAACTGGGCCAGTCACTTCTCCCTCCTATCCCCCAAATATCTCCCCTGGAAGGAGCTCGGAAGTACATATTTATCTAGTACACGTTACGGGTTTATGACAAAGTGACAGAGTCTCTGCCCTCATGGTCCCAAATGAAGGAGATGTATATAGACAAAGAGGTGACCCAGCAGTTAGAAATGGTGACACATGCTGTGAAGGCTGGAGCGCTCCTGGAGGGGTGGCCTCACTCTGCCCTGCGACATCAATGATGCGCAACCTGCTCTTTGCTGTCCCCTTCCCTTCCCATCCTACCCGCCGGGGCCCCCCTGCAGGAGAACAGCACCTTGTAAGTCAGTGCTCGAGAAATAGTTCCTGCCCACATTCTCAGCATTTCCCACGCAATATGTTTTTCTATTTTCTCTTCTCTCTTCCTGCTCCGCTGCTGTTTCTCATTTTTTGTTTGTTTGTTTGTTTGTTTGTTGGAAATGTCTCTCTCAATACTAGGATAAACTAACATTTTTTCTTTTCTGAAGTAGAAAGATTTCTATAGTAACCCAGCGGACTCCATACGGGGAACTGCTAAAATTGCTGGCTTCTTTTTCATCCCCAGGAGCCAGGAATCCAAATGGCAAATCACTTCCGGCTTGAACACCCTTCAGGATTGATAGATGCTCCCCTGAACGGTTTCCAGTTGAGGTCTGCGGAGCCCTGGGGTCACCCACCATCACCTGCAGGGGCTGCACTGACCATTCCAACTGTCTCCTTGGCTTTACATCACCAAGTGATGGTGAGCAGAGCTGCCCAGGAAAATGAAGTACACTCCACTAGTTCTCCTTTTCTGGAAAGACCCCGATTTTCTACACGGAACAACTATTTAAAGATACCAGCTACCCAGAGTCTCTGTGCAGTAGCTCATTTTAAATGCATTTAGATTCATTGCTTTTGACATTAATCGCACCAGCTGAGTGGATATTTGCCCAGTTTCTGGGCTCGCAAAGATATCCCGAGATGTGCAGTAAGTAGAGCTGAATTAACCCACAAGTGCTCCATGAAATGGAAGGGTGAGCTGAGCCATGTGAGTGCCAGAGAATGCAGAGCAGCAGGGATGATTCACAGAACTCAGGTCCAGACACATTATCCTGATTTCTGAAGAGCAGGACAGCAAGAGAATTTCTCTAGCATGTCCCACCTCTAAGTCTAAGCTGACAGGTGTCTGGAAGCTCTGTGGGAGTGTCTCAGATTAAATGACATTGAGACAAACAGGGCTTGTTGATTCCCTGGGATGAGGCAGAGAGGCCTCTGGGCTCAGTCTAATTGCTCCGACCTCAGGAACGTCTCCGGCACTTGGACTGGGCCTCTGGCTCCTTCTCTCGGCACCCATGAGCCCTTGCTTTGAGCCTTGCTAATTTGCTCTTGGTGAATCCTTGTTCTGTAAATGCATTCATGAGGATATCTCTCCATTCTGTCTCTTCAAACAGATTCTCAGGTATCCAAGGATTTCTCATTTGTCAGCGTCCCCCAAGCTTTCCAAGCACCGTGCTGGGGGCAAAGGCTGAACAGGATTTTATAGGCAAAGCACTCAGCACAGCTGTTCTTTCAGCTTGTCCTCATAAACGGCTGGTCCCTTCTCCCTTCACCCAAACACTGTCCACGGCTCGGAATTACTTGGTTTCTTTCTTTTTTTTTTTTTTTTAAAGGTTTTTTTTTTTTTTTAATTCATGAGAGACAGAGCGAGAGAGAAAGGCAGAGGGAGAAGCAGGCTCCCAAGGAGCAGGGAGCCCGATGCGGGACTCGATCCCAGGACCCTGAGATCATGACCTGAGCCGAAGGCAGACGCTTAACCATCTGAGCCACCCATGCGCCCGGAATTACTTGTTTTCTGTAACTAAATCTGGGGACGATCTCGGCTGGGATGAACTTTTGCTCCTAACGGCACTAAAGTCCTAAGATCTATAAAGGTATCAGGCAGTAGTTCTGAAGCCTGGCCATACGTTAGAAATGCAGGGATAACTTTTAAAAATTTAGACCTCCAGGCCCTCCTTCTAAGGATTCTGCTTTAAAAAGTGGCCTGAGGTGAGGTTCAAGTACAGATATTTTTCCAAATTTCCCCAGGTGATTCTGTTACATAACCAAGATGGACAATCAGAGAGTGAATAACAAGGGGTAGAGTTCTAGATTTCCTTGGTGACTGGGCTTCCCCATCAGTAAGGTCAGGAAATAGTCCCTGCCCTCCTGGGGTGGTTAGGAGGGCTGACCACGTTGATGCAGGTACACTGCTAATGTAGTAAATTAACGTAGGTCCTACATACAGGCTTCCGGCTATTACTTTTATCAGTGGTGTTCTAGATCCTTTTTCTTCTTTAACTCTGCCTACGACTAACATCCTCAAGTCAGTTATCACTCAAACACACAGTGAATCTTAAGAACTATTATTAAATCAGAAAAGTCTGGGTCCAAATTCTGTTTCAACCATTTGCTGGATAGGGAGCCTTCCTCTGGTCACTGGAACCCCAGTGAGGCATTCTCAATGTAGAAACCACAAGCATTCAGTGTGGCTTCAGAAAACCAAAAGGATCATTCAGATTCCTATCCCAAACACACCATCCTAATTTCTAGAAAGAAAAAAAACCAAACAATGTTCTTCTGGGCACAGGATATAATGCTCTTTGAGAATTCTGGAGCTTACCTGGCGCATTTCCTTATAGTTGTGGTGCTTAAAATCCAGGTCATCAGTGGTGGTCATTTCGTTCCTTCGGTGATAATAGTTATTTGGATCTAGGGATAGAAATATGGTTTTGAATTCACTCACATAATTCGGTTACTTGTAAGGTCAGGAAACAGTCCCTGCCCTCCTGGGGTGGTTAGGAGGGCTGACCACGTTGCCTGATTCATGTGGAGACACAACCCAATCTCAAGCTTCTAACAATCACACAGAGGTGAGAGAGCCAACTTTCGAGAAGCATCTCAGGAGTCAGAATTAGCCAGTGGTGGAGATGGACCTGGAGCCAGAACGCCTGGTTCAAATCTCCACTCTTCTACTTAAGTGCGGTGTGACCTTAGATAAGTCCCTGGAGCAGTCTCTGCCTTAGTTTCTTCACCCGGAAACAGGGAAGAAAGGTACTTCCCTCATTGGTTCACGGTTGGTATTAGTTGGAATAATCTATGTGCCTGGCAAACTGTTGGCACTGAATGAATGAATGAATGAATGAGTGAATGAATGAATGAATCAGTGAATGAATATCACAACCGTATACATAAATGGAAACTTCTGGAAGTATGGTGCACACTATTCGTTACTCATCAGCATTCAGGCCACTTCCATCCTTCCTAACAGAAACCCTGTGTGGTTTGGGAATCATCCCAAAGCTTCCAGGAAACAGACCTCGCATCCCAGCTCAGGGAGCCAGCGTGACTGGTGTCAACCAATCAGAGCCCAACACACCCTGGCCACTCTTCCTGGTCCAGATGGGAGGGAGGCACAGAGGAGCGAGAATCTCTCCGGAGTAGAGGACAGAAAGAACCCCACCAACATCAGGAGCTACTTCCAATCACGTGACTTGTCAAAGTCCCTTACTCACTAAGCCAGGGGGGGCTGGGGTTTCTGTTGTTGAAGCCAGAGACCCCAACAGGCTATCTTAACACTGGTCACCTATGGGGACTGGGATTCGGGGGTCTGGGAGGAGAGGTCTGCTCTTGACTTGATTCTCTTCCCCATATAAATTGACCTTTTTCTTTAATACATATAAGCCCTGTTGTTTATATAATTATGAGAACAAAATTCTGAGTGCCTCAGAATTATGAGAAGAGAGGACCCTCAAAGGACAGGCTGGGGAAGAAGAGTGAGGAGGAGGATAAAGGGGAGGAGCACTCAGTGGATCTGGAGGTCTGTCCCTGGACCTGCCAGCCCCATGGCATTTCCAAGTGGACGAGAAAGCCAGAAATCCTGGCCAGCTCCCGACGTAGAGAGAACATACTGCTCCCGACAGGGGGCTCTCCTAACCCAGACACACTGTAGGCAAGGTTGAAGCCACAGCAGCTGCGGGTTTGATCCAAGAGGCTCGAAGGGGGAGTCCAGAGGCAGTGGCAGGGGTGGGGGACAGAGGGATGAGCGTTTGCTCTGAGTGGTGTCAGGAGCCGCGGGTCCTGCTTTGCGCCACCAAAGATGCTCCTCAGACCAGCACTCCGGCTGCCTGTAAACCCAGTCCAGACCTACTGAATCAGAACCCACAGGAAAAACAATCCCCGCTGACTCCACAGGCTCAGAAATCTGAGGAGCACCGTGTTCAAGTACCGAGCATGCTGCCGGCAGGAACGAGGCCCTGGATGCACACCGCACACAGCTTCCAGCCACCGAGCCACGGCCATGACCGCCGTAACCGACCTTGCCAGGGTTCCCCTGCGCTGGCTTCACCCTTGAGAACTAAGGCTCCATGCAGTGCGCTGAAAATCGCAGAGAGACCTGAATGCCAACAAACCAGATTTTAGTATCCACCAAAGTATTATTTGCCAGTAATACCATGAGAAACAGGGACTATCCCTGAAAGGGAGAAAGTAGGAGGGCAGGCTGCCATTTTGTCCAGGAAAGAGCAGAAGCTGATCAGGTTTCGCACAGGCCCCCCAAACACATTTCAAGCACTTTCCTTCTGGGAGTGTGGGCTGACCACAGACAAGCTGCCTCTCCTTGGGTTTCCAAACCTGTATGTCTCAAAGCAAAGGTAAAGCATAGTTTTCACATTAATTTACACTTCGTTTACCCATATGATGTTTTCTAAGAGCTACTCAACACTCCTCAAGTCCCAGGGGCCTCTTTCCAAAACTCTTTAAAGCCCCTTTGCCTTCACACACAAGTTATGCCTTCAAGGTTCTTAAAAAGGATTGAAGAAAATCTCAGAACCCTAAGTACAAAGGAGCTCCACGTTTGGCAACGTTCTGCCTTCCCTAAGGCTAGTCAATTTGCCTAAGGACAAGGGTACAAGTTCTGGAACTATCTCCAAACCACAGGTCAGTATTCTTCACAACTTCCCATCGCCCACATTTTGAGCAAATCATTCTTTATCAACTGATTCTGATTAGATAAAGTTTTACTGAGAACCTATTAAGAGCTTAGTAGTGTAGGTAAAGAGATGAGCAAGAACCGAATCTGGCCCGCTTGGGGCCCAGAGTCTGCAATCCCAGTCACCTAGTCAAACTGCTGGCCCCTTCCTCTTTCTGTGGGCAAAAGGCCCCGTTTTCCTGAGGGGAATCTATTCCAGATGTTTCAGATAAAATTGCCTTGCCTAGCATGCACAGTTAGGCGTATGTGACTGAGGTTCAGGCATGAAACCGTGTCCTCTGCCCATAGTCACTGGCTCAGAGGTGATCCCAAGATCCTAGGGTCCACGCTGGGAATCAGATGACTTTCCTCCCAGAGCTGTAAGAGGAGAGCCTCCATCTCTTGGAGTTGCTCAGATGGTGGAATGAGTTTGGGGTGTCGATCTCCCTGTCCGTGAGATGAACATAAGGGGAGGCCTGACTCCCCGAGAAGACCCTGACGTAGGAGAACTATTCTTGCCTGAAGCCAGAGTCAGAATCAGATCCACCCCTGGAATTTTCATTTACGTGAGCCAAAAGCCCTCCCCCCATAAGCTAATTAGAATAGGGCTTCTGGCATTTGAAACGTAAGTCCTGATTCAGTCTGTGAGACCTTTATCCTCACAGATGGAGCTTGGGAGAATCAGTCTCCTGCTTCCCTTAGAGTGTGTGGTTTCACACGTCATATGTCCTGAACACCAGCCGATTCCTTCCGGAACACCTTAGTTACAGGGACAAACTCCCGACAGGGCGTGTGGAGCCTAAAACCATCCCCCCGACTTTTCTTCTCTTACTCAGCTATTTAAAATCCTGTTTTGCCTGAACTTGTCTATTGATTATGCATTATGGGGGTTGAATTATGTCCCCCCCAAAAAAGATATGTTGGAGTCCTAACCCGTAGCACTTCCGGATGGGACTTTATTTGGAAAGAGGGTTTCTACAGAGGTCAGCAAGTTAAAGTGAGGTCATTAGAGTGGGCCCTGACCCATTATGCCTGGTGTCTCTAGCAAGGGGGGTGCAGACACAGAGGTAAGCACGCGGTGAAAAGGCTCTGTGGAGGTGAGGGCACAGATGGGGTGATGCATCTACAAGACAGGGAACCCAAAGACTACCAGAGGTGACCCCCCCCAGAAGCTGGGGTAGAAAGAGGGAGCAGGTTCTCCCTCACAGCCTTCGAAGGAGCCAGCCCTGCTGACGCCTAGATCTAGATAGGACTTCTGGCCTCCAGGACTGAGACAGTAACTTTCTATTCTTCCAAACCACCCAGGTCTGGGCATTCTTTACGGCAGCCCTAGGAGACTGCTAGGAACCTGGGACATTCCTGCCTCCTCATTGCTGTGGACACCCGCTCTTCCCATACACACACACACATACACACATACACACACACACCAGCTCACTCCACAGGGCTCTTTTCAAGACAACAGTGATCATTCCAGAACAAACTGCATTCCTGGAAATCCGGCGGGGGGGGGGCGCTAGTGGGGGGGGTGGTATCAAGATTCTCGAACTGTTCTGCTTTGCTATTTGCTTGCTTTGGGGACCTTGCTTGACGGGAGCGGGCGCTCAGTGGGGACAGGAGAGGCTATCTTTGCTGGAAAGGAGGCTCACATGCAATCAAGAATCACTGGGCTCACGATGCCTTTGACATTCCTAACCAGAGCAGGCGATCAATAGAGGCAGAGATTAGAGGTCACAGAGATGGTGGAGGGGGTCAGGAAGTGATGACTCGATGGGCCCCGGTGGGTGGGTTTATGGGTCCACGATGAAGTTCAGACACTAGACAGAGCTGGTGATTGCAACACCTTGTGAATATGCCAAATACCACTGACCTGTATCTTTAAAATGGTTCATTGGACGTTACACAAGTTTCACCTCGTTTCTTTTTTTTTTTTTAAAAAGGGCTGCCTGCCTCCTCTGCAGATGAGGAGGCCACCAGAGACACATCGCCAGAAAAGACAGTTGTCGAAAGTGCTGATGTTTCTACAGTTCCCCAATAATCAACACGGAGCAGCTGGACCAAGAAGAGAAACCACGAGTTTATTTAAGCTCAGTAAGGGCACGTTGCCCTCAGTTGCAGGGACAACAGGCAGCACCCAGCAAGGCTGGATCCCCCCGAACTGAGAGGGGTTCCCTCGGTGTAAGGATGCCTGACACGCTTCCCTGGTTATACTCGAGAGCTCTGGGGGCAGCGAAGGTGTCTGTCTTCTCCCAGAATCCCAGGGCCCTGCCTCAGAACGGGCACATCCTATGTGTTTGATGTATGAATGCAGGAGTGAGGAATGAATGAATGGGGGGGACGGATGGATAGAGATCCCAATCAAGTTATTTAGGAAAGACTACTTACGAAAAAGTTAACACTTCCTGGGGCTGGGAGACCTCTGAGAAGGGGCCCACTTCATGCTGCGATGCTACGCCCTATCGCCAGGGTGGAACGAAGGCGGAAAGGTAGGGCAGAGGGCGTGGTGAATGCCAACCACATCCTTGGGGCTGAGAACAACTATGGGACATTATGCCATCTCTGGGTCTCTAGTGTACTAGTTTTCTAGGGCCACCAGAACAAAGTATCACAAACTAGGCAGCTTAAAGCCAATGTACCCTCTCACAGGTCTGAAGGATAGGGGTCTGAAATCAAGGTGTGGGAGGGGCTGTGCACACTCCAGGTTCGAGGGGAGGAGCTTTCCTGGCCTCTTCATAGCTCCTGG